TGGGCCGTCGGGCTTTGGCCGGTTGTCGGCGCGTAGGGATGGCTGGGTTTGCGAATCAAGATGGATCTCCTGGGAGTGCCCGGCGGTATCTTTTGTGAAGGTCAACTCGGACGGTAGCTTTAATCCGACAACGAGTATGGCGAGTGCTGGCGGGGTAATCCGGGACCATCATGATAACTGGGTACAAGGGTTTATAATGAACATAGAATTTTGTTCCATTATTAGAGCCAAATTGTGGGGGCTCTTTCAAGGTTTATCTTTGGCCTAGGACGTTGGGGCTCGTCAGGTGCATGCTGAAGTTGATAACAAGAGCATACTCGAGATGATTAGGATGGTTGATTATTCTGGCCCTCATGGTGGGCTAGTCAGGGGAATTCGGGAGCTTTTGAATCGCCCTTGGGAGGTCGGGATCCACCATGGTTATCGCGAAGCTAATTTCGTGGTGGACTATTTAGCGTCATTCGCAACAAAGAGTCCGGAACAGCCTCCACCAGGGGCCAGCATGTGGTTACTCCATGATCGGATGAGAGTGTCTCATCGCCGTTTGATTACCATCTAGGCTGTCATTGCCCCCTTTTTTGCACAAAAAAAAAATATATTGTATATAATGTATATTACAGAATCTCGTAGATATCTGCAATTAAATAATTGCGAAATTGCTATAATATTTTCGTTCGAAAAAATTGTGAGTAAATAATTGCGAAAAGGCAATAATTCCTTATGACATTCATTTGACCACCCCAAAATGGGAAAATTTCATTATAGGGCTTGATTTTTGGTATTGTGTCATAATAGGGTCTAAACTTTTAACTTTATCAGTTTAGGGTTTTTATTTTAAGTTATTTTCAATATAAGACATACTTTTATATTCTACTTTTTAATTTAAGACTCCAAATCACTTTGTATTTTGACATAATTGTGTAAACCACAATACTCTTTTTTATTAATTAATTGTAAGTACTTATAATGAAAAATATTAAATATATTTAGTGAAATTACCTAATAAGATAATTATTTCATAATTTATATTTATGCAAAAAGCTTAATGAAAAATATTTTAAAAGTAAAAAATTAAATTTTAACTTAAATATGTGATAACATTAAAAAATAAACTATTCGAAAAAATAATTATATTTTTTGAAATAAAATTACAATAAATATTGTTTGTGAATAAAATTTATATATTTTAAAAAGTTAAGAATATATTAAAATAATACCTATAATACAAGTATTAAATATATCTGTAAAACTAGCTTCGTAAGAAAATTAATTCAAAGAAGTTATAATTATGCAAAATTAGTTTAGCTTAAATGAATAAATTTTATTACTAGAGTAATTTTACTAAAGATATTTATAGTTATTTAAAATATAAATTTTAAAATAATAGTATTTTAGTATGCATTACATATTTATGTAAAAATATAAAATTAATTGGTGTCTTGATTTGAGAATAGAATGTGAAAGTAGTCTTTAGTTAAGAATAACTTTAAAATTGAAAATCTCAAATGAAAAAGTTGAAAATTCAACACTCATGTGACATAATAACAATAAGTCAAGCCCTACGACATAATTTTCTCCAAAAATCGACCCGTTACACGACGTTTAATGAACCCCAAAATTTGTATTTATAAAAAAAAATAAAATTGTAGATCATAATAATTATGCTGTAAATTATTGGGAAATAACTCCCTAATTATTGGACTCAATTGAATAAAAACAACTCTTCCCCGCGCCCTGTTTTAATCGCTTTCGTTTTATTCAGTCAAAAGTTTGCATGCCAAGTGGCGCAACGTAATTGGCTGGTCAAACACATTAAATTCCCAAAAATGGGCCCCGCGACCGTAAATTTAATAATAATATCATTACATTATACGGTGCCAACAATATAAAAAGGCAAATAATTAAAAAGCATTTTGTTGAATAATTATTTTATTAATAATTAATAATCTGCTTTATTAAA